AATTTGACTCCCCTAGGTGCCTTGTACAAGTGGAATCATACAGTATTTGTCTGTTTGTGACTGGCTTATTTTACTCAACATAACATCTTCTTTCAAGGATCATTTATGTTGTGCATGTATCAGAGATTTCTTCCGTTTTAGGGTTGAATAATATTTCATCGCGTGTATGTACCACATTTGTTTATCTGTTCATCCATAGATGGACACTTGGGTTGCTTCTGTCTTTTGGCAATTGTGAATAATGCTGCTATGAACATAACATTCTGCCATTCTTGTATCATCTGTAATTTCATCCACTCCCCACCCCCTATTCACTTATTACTATTTATAGAACTGCATTCTATTCATCTTTTTGTTCCCCTAACATGGAGCCTGGCACATAGTAGGTGTTTTAAAAATGTTTGGATATAAGGATAGATCTTCCAAAATTATTGTTTTTTTAAATTTTAATCAAGGTTTATAATACAGATATGGCTCCTTTTTCTCTTAGAATCTCATAGTAAAGGTGCACACAAAATTTTGATAAAAATTAAATTTGTAAAGGAATATACAAATTTAACACTAAGTATGGGTCCACCGAACAAGGAAAGTTGCTGAAAAATCTGATGAGAGCTGTTTTATTTTTATGCCAGTACTGACCACACTGTGGATAAAGTCATTTAGTTCTGGAAATATCAAAAACCTTGGAATCACCAACTTCATTTACCTCTTCACAAAGATTCAACTCATTAGTGATGGAGTTTTCAATTGATTCCATATGTCAAGAAGATAATCTGGGAGTAAAACTTGTCATTTTGTAACAAAGTTCTTGCTAGGGTTAAGCAGCTGTGCTTTACTGTCCTTCGGGTCATAGATGGAAAATTCTGCTAATGCGATCTAAGCTTGAATGCTCACGGCCTGAATTCCCTGAATTAACGTTGCTACCAGCCAGTAGCCCCCGTGCCTAGAGTGTCACCTAAGAAGACAAAAGGTTTAATCAGTCTAATAAGAGAACTAAATCAGCACTTCTTAGAAAGGAAGGGACTAACCAGACACCTTGCCTTGTTCTCCTCCACGGCAGAGCGAAGTGGGGGGCGGGGGGGGGGGGACAATTTCAGGGGCAAGACGGGGTGGACAAGCTGGTGGAAATGGCTTTGTGTCCTTGCCTTGGGCCTGTAGCAGAAAGAGCCTCGGCAGCCGTTTGCTTCCCCCAGGAGCTGTCTCTGCGGAGACTGCTGCTTTAAGTGTCTGGGAGAACCTGAAAGGTTCCAATTTTGAAAAGAACTCTCCAGATCTCTGGCTGTCTGAGGGCAGACAGGACCGAGGCCTCAGAGAAAAGCTGAGTCTGCAGTGGGCCACGTGCGTGCTGGTAACACCTGGGCTTTGGAGGCCCCTCGGTGTTAACCCTGGATCTGCCGTGTACGGGTTCTGTCACTTTGGGCAACTTTCCTTACCTCGGTTATTCCTCCGTAAAATTTAAGCATAATTCCTCTATCCTTAAAAGTTTTCAGAATGGCAGAAAGAGTTGTGAAGCGCATAGCACAGCGCCTCACACAGGACCTGTGATCAGATGAGGCAAACTGTGATTACTGCCGTTGTCTTAGAAGGCGAGTCACTCCGGGAGAACGAGCCCTCTGCGCCTGTTGCCATTCAGACCTTTATACATCACTGTGGGTGACGGCGGTGTCACTGCCTTTCAGCAGGATTAGGATAAAAGAGTTGGGCCCTGAACAGACGGGGTTTGCTCGCCTAGCTCCTGTTCACCCTTCCAGGCTCAGCTGAAAAATGTCCACTTTTCATCACGTTTTCTGACCTGCGCCCCTGGGGGGATTAGCCTTTTCCTCTTTGGACTCCTGTGGGCATTTTGTCCCGCCCCAGTCGCACTACGCAGTGCAGCAGTAGTTTTTCCAGGTCTGATTGACACATCTGATGTTGTTCTTTAAGCTCTTTTCAGAAAAAGCCCTATTGTCCCTTTTCCCCTGAATTTTTCCCATCCATGCCCATGTCCTCTTGCCTGTTCTTGTGGCACAGAGTCTGATCCGTGGGGAAGTCACTTCCAGTAAGTAGACAACAGGCCCCAATGTTCATGTCTCCCCAAAGATGAGATTCTTTCTGCTCTCCAGCAGCTAAGTCCTGCCTCAGGCTACCCTTACGTACAAATCTGGTTGCAAACTCTCAGAATTTATCAGTCCCTCAGCAGACTTCTTCCTGGCAGCAATGGGCCAAAGCTCCAGGAGTGAATGTTAACAACTCCAACGAGCATCTCTGAGCAGCTCGAAACTCCCCGGACACACGTGTCACTCACCTGGCATCGTGCTCTGAGACCTCTTTACCGTCAGCCAAGCAGTGTCAGCCACACCGAGACCACAGGGCTTGTGTGGCAGGAACCAGGGTGGAGCTCATTTTGAGGTTCTTTAACCAACATCCCTGAGCTTCTAATTGGGGTCTGGGCTCTGCGCTATCCCCAGGGAGTGTACAAACAAGTCCAGCCAGGGCCTCTGCCCTCTGGAGCTTCTGGTCAGAGAGGACCCCAATGAAGACTATCCTAGCACCCGGGGGTGCATGCAGCATTGTGGGAGCAGCGAGCAGGGATGAGTGACTGCTGCACAGAGGCCTGCATGTGCGAGGAAGAAAGTCTAGGCAGAAGGAATAGAACTGCAAAAGCAAGGAAGAAAGTGGGCAAGGGCATGGCATGTGATCAGGGAATGCGTTTGGAGCACTGGGTGTGTGGAACAGCAGAGGCAAAGTGACACAGAAGGACTCTGGGAAAGACAGCTAGGGTCAGCTTAGGGCTGGTGTGTTTGCCTGGTTAAGGAACTTTTTCTTCCTCTTCCATACAGCACCCTGGTGTATGCCACACACGATGACAGATGTACAATCTAGAGCAAAATAAGTACCGTTCCTGCCTGTAGGAAACATATAGTCTAGTGGAAAAAACAGACATTAATCAGATAATCTCACAAAGGTAACATCTGTGCAATCAAAGTTCTTGAGTTGGATAGTGACATGATCCAATCTGCATTTTAGAAAGCACTCTGGCCAGAAGAATTGGCATAGACTGGGTGGAACGAAACGGGGAGGGATGGAGAGTTAAATCTCTGCCACAGCTGTCCAGGCCTGCACCAAGGTAGTGGGACGGAGAGCGGGAGATGAGCGTGGGACGTTCCACACGTAAAATGGGAAGGGCTTGGGCAGTCTGATGGGCCTGCTATGATAGCTATGAATGATGGCACTTAAGAAAGAAAGGAAAACAGGTTTGGGGTACAGTCCTCATGGAGGTATTGATAATTGGGAGTTTTGACTATTTTGAGTTTGAGGTGCCAGGGGGCCATCCAGGTGGAGGTTGAGACGTATGAGTTCGAAGCTCTGGAAAGGTGTCTGAGCTGATAATATTTATCAGGAGTCATCAATGTATGAGTGACTCTGTGTGCGTGGATGAGATCAGCTGGAGAAGGAATTAATTGCCCTGCTGTGGCCCCAAGGGCGAGAAGCAAAACTTCCAAGCCACAAGAATGAAATTCTAGCTGGGTCTCCGGTTAGCACTAGCTGGTCTCACAGCTGTTGAGCATGGGAGATGTAAATCCATGCCAAAGTAATCCATGTCAAGAAAAGCTTTATCCCAAGGACTAGTATACTTCTTTTTTTTTTTCCTCATACACAATGTAAAGTTTGCATTGTTTTCCCTTCTTGCTTCAGCAGCCAGGAAGCTCTGAGCTAATTTTGTAACTTCATTTTAGAAACTATATAGGACCTACATATCCAGATATTCTTTTCCCAAATAAATACATTGTAGACATCTATGTATTTTCCAGCCCTGACTTTTTTCTTTATTGTTTTAGTTGCTCATGTAAGCTGCCTCAGATCCTTTGTGAAATTAGGTAGGGCACACCTGTATAAAAATAAATATTCCCCTTACCCTAATATTTTTGGATCATCTTTGTGGTTCTTGTGCAATAAGTCTGCCCAGTTGCTAATACTGGCTAGATTTAAGCAGTAGGAACTCTTAGAACTTACAGAAGCTAGGCAGTAAATTTAACACTCACATAACTCATTAAAACAGGATAAAAGTGGAACTTCAAACATCTCTGTGTTTGCTACCAAGTCTGTGAAGGGAGGGGGGTTTACCCTTAATTCAGCTCAAGATATAAAAGTCTGATCTTTCAGAATTGAGAATACACTGCTGAAATTAAAGACTTGTCTGTGTAAATAAGCGCTCCAAATGCGTTCAAAGAAAGATTGAGGTGTTAACTATATATGGACGGGATTTTTTTTTAAGTGTAGAGTATCATTTTCTTGACTCATAAAATGTAGTTTGGTGAAAGCAAACTTCCTTATCAAACAGCATAAGCACAAAATTGGCTGGATGGTAAATTTTATTTTTGGTCATCTCTGCTTTTTAAAATAAATAATTGCTTTAATTTTTAATTACTATTGGTTAAGATCGCTGTGTAAATAGTTTTCAAACCATGATCTGTGGCTGGTGCCTTAGGGACGGCAAGGGTGCCCAGGATGTGAGGGACTGAGAAGGCTGCCAAGCCAGGAGAACCTGGCCCCCAGCCCCGGCCCCCAGCTCCCCCGGGAGCAGCTGAGCTCTGCTTTACAGAGCACACGGTAGCAGGGCTCCTTGTGCATAAGGGTCCATCTGAATAAAGGGTTCCCCTCCTAAAAGTGAAAAGAAAAGTTTCAAAATCATCCTGTTGGAGGGCACATCCCACTCACTCGCTATTGGCATATGGAAGGGGTGGTGTGGGGGGGAAGGGGGGGTTGGTTCCAGCATAGAATTCCCTGTTGGAATTCTGTTAGTTCCTAAGCTGCCTCCTACCCTCTCTGTGACTTTTGGGGACAACTCTTCCTCCCTGATACAGCTTCCTCGTCTAGAGAGGAGAAGGACTTCCTCGATAATAGCTACGTCCCCAATGAGGATGAGATAAATCAGATGTGGGCGCTCTGCCTGAAGGAGTGTAAGAACCGGCGGCTCTCGCTCCATGTGCTCACCCTCCTCTCCCCTCTCTATTGCCCAGGAGGAGCCGATCACCTTCTGTGAGGAAGCCTTCGTGTCCCACTATCGCTCCGGGGCCATGCGGCAGTTCCTGCAGAACGCCACGCAGCTGCAGCTCTTCAAACAGGTGCCTGCCCCGCCCGTGCTCCACCTGTGTCTGGCTCCCTGGCAGGGATTTCGGGTGGGACTCAGGCCCCAGGGGGAAGGGGATCAGGTGAAGAGGGAGGTCGGCAACCAGGCAGACCCTTTGCAAATCTGCCACATGGTTTTCCAAGTTATTGTAAACACGCAGCCAGCTTTTTAGAACTTTTATTGTTGAAACTCACTTTTTGAAAACTCACTTGTAATGGGCCTTTCCTAGCTTGGAAAACCTAAGATGTTCTCTAGGCACGCAGCAAGGTGACCACTGAATGGGTTTGTCCGCCTTTTCTTTGTGTAAGCAGCTGTGCTTTGTTCTTTCTTTCTGTAGTTTATTGATGGTCGATTAGACCTTCTCAATTCTGGCGAAGGTTTCAGTGATGTTTTTGAAGAGGAAATCAACATGGGCGAGTATGCTGGTGAGAAGCATCTCATTTTTCTTTCTGGGCTGGGGGCTGCTATAGATTAAGGGTATGTTTGGCAGGGAGTAGCAGTGACGACTTTTTCCTTTATTGGGGATTAGGAAGAGACTGATTTCAAACTGGGCCTTGAAATATCTGGAGAATTCCTCTTCGTTTTCTGATGAGATGCATATTGGCCCATGTGAAATCCTGTGGCCTGGGGCTCACTTGCTTCCCCTGGGTAGACAAAGTCTGGTTAGATGTGGTGACCAGTATGATGCAGTGGAAAGCACATGAAATATCAAATTAGGAGACCTGGATTGAAATCAGAACTATGCCTGCTCACTAGCTGAGACCTTGGTCAAGTCAGTTCACCTCTTTTAGCTAAAGTTTTTCTATCTATGCGCCGAGAGTAACATTGCCCACCTCGTAGGATTGCTGTTGAGATTGAATCAGAATCCTTGAGGAAAGTTTGTACAGTCACCCAGGACAGTCCCTGGCACAGGGTCAACGTGCAGTAAATGTTTCTGTAAAATGTGAAAATTATAGCCAGGTGCTCAGTCTCTGCAGGTTTGAAAAACTGCAGGACTTTTCCCCTACAAAATGAGAAGGGCTTTTCTCATGTTTTAGAGGAGGCATCTGAGAGGCGTTGATGGCTGAGTTCTGAGAAGACAGGCTTTAGATTTTGTTACATTAAGCTCAGTTATTTGGAACTTCTAAAAGAGCTGTCTACTGATAAGAAGACCTCCTTACCCCACCAGATCGAAGGAACAGGGTTCACCAACAACACTGCTTTTTTCTTTCCCTCTCACTGTTCAAGTGTCTTGAGGGCTGAGTGTGTGTCCAGCAAGGTCCTTATTCTGGGACACACAGCCCTGGGGGTTCTCGCTCCGATGTGGCTCACAGTACTTCAGAGAGTATGCACGTCTGAGTGGGTATTATCATCCTAGAGGGCTGTTCAGAGAAAGGAGTAAGGAGAAGCTTCCACAGGAAAAAACATCTGAGCTGGCTGGAGAGTGTACTAAGCAGAGAAAGTAGAGAATAGTGACCAAGCAAGAGAACAACATTTACAAGGGCCTGGCGGACCAGGAGAATGCTGGTTTGGGGAACCCTCAGTAGCTCCTGGTGGTGGAGCCTAAGACCATGCAAAATGGCAGCACAGGGTGGAGAGGCAGAGGGTGGGGAGGCCAGGAGACAAGACTGGAGGAGTCTGACCTCCATCCAGTAGGCAATCGGGAGGCTTCTGAAGGCTAGGAGGCGGGACGTTGCTATGGTCCGCTCTGTTTGAGAAAGAAAACCTGTGGCGGCGACTCACTGCTGCCTCCTTTGGGGAGTGGAACACAGGAACCTCCATGTGGTTCTCTTCTGGCAGGTCCTGCACGCCGAAAGCAACTTAAAGCACTCCTGAGGGCAAATCACATCTTTAAATAATAGTTTCTCTGACTTCTCTTTCCCCAGGCAGTGATAAACTCTACCATCAGTGGCTCTCCACGGTCCGGGTAAGTGTACACCCAATTCCAAGCCACCTGGGCCACCTGCTTAGTCTCCCGGCAGCCCTCTGCTTCTTGGCCACCCACAAGGCTGCCACAGGCCAGAGTGCTGGTGTCTCTCAGCTGAGGATGCTTTTGTTTGTAAAGCCAGGCTATTCTCATGCCAGGAGACTAGAAGGATGGGACAGGCCAGAGCCTCCTCGTGGTGAGGGCAGAGAGAGGCTTCCCGCTCTTTGGGAAGCCTGGCCGAGGAGTACTGAGTGGAATGATGACGTCGCAGAGCATGTCTAGCGCCAGTGCAGTGGTCGTGGTCATGGGCAAGCAAAAAATGTGTCCCTCTTGTAATATTTTTCACAGGAAAGGCTCCTGGGAAGATGGAGGACACATGACCGAGAGATTTTTTTCATCTTCTCTCTGTCGTTGTGAACAATTTCTTGTTGTGTCGGGAGCCAGGTGCTTACACGGGCTTCCGAAGCCTCTCAAGAATTCAGAATCTTGCTTTTCCTTTCCATCAGTTTATAACTGAGTGTGTGCTGAAGGCCTACTGTGTGCCGGGCACCGTGCTGGGTACTGGGGACGCAGCAGGGAGCAGGACACAGGCCCTGCCCGGGGGGACTCCCTGCCGTGGGGAGGCAGGCACGTAAACAGGCAACCCCAACATAATGTGATAAGTGTTCTCTCCCGCTCGTGGGCCAAGTGCGCCGCTGCCAAGGCGAGTCCCTTGGAAGTGGCTGCAGTTGGCCGAGAGTAAGCAATTCCTCCGTGAAAGACTTCCTTTGTTCCTCCTGTATGGCCAAACACAGCACTTGGCAAATCAGAGAGGAGCAATAAGGACTTGTTGATTGATTGATAAAGGGAGTTTCAATACTCCAAAGGACCATTTAAATAGGATACTGAGTAATTTTGGAAAGCAGTATGGAATAAATGAGTGGGTGAAAATTTCCTATTGTCCTACAACACAGAATGCTTTCTAGGTCAAATTGTAATGTTTTTAATTAAAGCTCAAAATTCCTAATGTGGGCAGTTACCACATATTGTGCTAAAAATTAAAGCCAATAATTACTATATCTTATTCTCTTACATACCCACTGGTTCCAGTGTCTCTCTATTCCAGTCAGTTTGCACCTGATCATGTGATACATTTGATTAAAAATCCTCCATAGCATAAACCCCTTAGCCTGGCATTCTGGGCCCTGCACGAGCTGACCCCATCTGGCCTCCCAGCCCACTTACCCCCCCCTCCCATGGTGCACTGCACATGCTACAGTAACCACTTGCTACATGGTGCACCGTGGCTTTTCAGCTTCTGCACTTTTTTATGTGCTATTTCCTGTCCCTAGAATGTTCTCCTTCTATCACCCACATCAACCCCTATACATCCTTCACGGACCAGGTCTCATGTTCCCAAGGCCTTCCCTGGTCTTCTGTGTCTCTGCACTCCTTGTGCACACAGTCCTTACAGCTGTCACCTCCTCATCACCTGCTTGTCAGTTATTGACCATGGAACCCCCCACCAACTGGAGTTTTTGGAGGCAGAGACCAGGCTTCCTTTGGCTCTGCGCCCTCTGAGCCTAACAGGGGCACCCGTGCAGTGAGCCCTCCCACCACGTCTGCAGGCACGAGACTGAAGATTCGTGAACACCTATGAAAACTTGGCCTGTGCGCTTCACCTCCTCCACCGCCTCCTTTATGTAGTGGGAAGGCCTTCCCTCCTCTTCCCCCTGCTCCTAAAAAAAAGTGAGCAAGAAGTTGGTGTGTTGGATTTATAGTAAAGCCATGGTGAACGTTTATGGCTATTCATTCTTTCCTTTTCTCAAGATTTAGATGTTAAGGAAAGCAGCCTACCAGAGAGATTTTAAAACACAGCACAGAAAACCGAGGTGAGGAAAGGAAGTTGCACGGGTGAGGGCAGCGTATTTCCCAGCGTTCTGCCTGATCAGGACCCCGTTTCCCGCCCTGACTTGATGTCAGCTGTAGAGTCCATGGTTATTAAAGTTACCTGAGTATTGTCCGTGGTCACTGGAATTTCCTGAAAAGCCACAGAAGACTGTAAGGAAACCCTTGCCTCAGACAGCCTGAGATATGCCTCCCTTCCAGCCAGGGGACAGGTGCTGAGCAGAACACTGAGCCCAGGGTCCCCCCAACCTGGTTATCTCACTCCTCATCCCAAGGCCACACACCTACACCCTGCAGATACCCACCCAGAGCCATTCAGCCATAGCCATGACCGGAACTGTCCGGGACCAGTTACCATCTAGGCCTGTTTCTCTATTTGAATGACTCTTTGGAAAGTTGCTGAACTTGATTGACGAGAAGAGGTCTTTGTTGGTGTTGGCCTACTCTGTCTTCAGCCCAAATTGCTAATTGACATTTTTATTATAGAAAGGAAGTGGAGCAATTCTGAATACTGTAAAAACAAAAGCAAATCCGGCCATGAAAACTGTCTACAAATTCGTAAGTACTGGTCTTGGTCTCAAGATCCAAACAGTTCTGTTCCCTTAGCACGATGACACTCTTAAATGTATGTGATCTTCTATTGTGGAGAAGATCCAGGGGCTGCTGCACTGTTTCCCAAAGGTCTCAGTGCTCTTACAATTAGCACTGAGATTTTATGACCAGTTCAGTGACATTTTTAATTTACGATGTCGCTGTTCACAGTTGCTGCAATAGAGAAATGGGAGGCTGCTGGTTTTCACTTTTAAAATGGTGGCTTATACAGTACATGGACAGCCCCCCAAAATAAAAAGTAAATAAATAAATGGTGGCTAAAATTCAGGCCACTCCACACCCACCTCCCTGAGACCCAGAGGCACGGTCTCTCGTGTATTCTGGCAAAGTTTTCCTACGCGTATCCCCAGTATTAGATCAAAAGGAAGAAGCTCCTTTGCAGGTTACTGAAGAGTGTTCGTGGTGGGATACACCCTTTAATTTTTGTCCCAAATTCTTCATCATCTCTCTCGTCACTGCCCTATAGGAAATGCATTATCTGTGAGACTCGTGCCCACAGCCGAGTGAAAATAGAACACGTCAGTTCCTGGTGCTCCGTCTTTCACCAGCCTCAAGTATTTTTTTCTTATGGTTTCTCTTGCTTGCTGATTTGACCCTGAGCCACTGAAGTAGGGTGGTTTTGTTTTATTTCCATTTTTAATTTTGTTAGTCCTCTCTGTGCTTAAATTGTAGCTATTTTAACAGAGTGGGTGGTTGCCAGCAGAACCACACAGGTCTAAAATGACATGAGATAAAAGCCAGGGCATCTGCCAGAATGAGGTTTAGGAAACGGCACTACAGACACCCCGCCATGTGCCTGTTCCGGCCGTTCAGCCCGGGCAGAAAATTGATCCTGAGGCCCTGCCCTGGTGAAGTATAATGGATACTCCGAGTCTCGCAGCCGGAAAAGCTGCTGCTCTACTCTTACTGGTGGCTGTCACCAGGCTGCCGAGATAAATAATTATAGAGAGCAAAAGAAGGGCTTTGGAAGGAAAAAAAAATCTGTGCCATCAAAATGCAGAAAATAAAATCTCCGCAGCCTCTTTAAGGGATTTTTTTCTCACCTTTTACCGTTGTATTTGTTTTCATAGCCATTATATTTTCGACTTGATGATCCCATTTTTCCTTCCTTTTTCTAGTAATCAGAGAAGGTGATTCTCGACGGACTGAAATCAAGCATAGTCCCTGCTGGAAACAGAAAGGGAATCTTAACTTAAATTAATTTTTCATGCAGGCAAAAGATCATGCAAAAATGGGAATAAAAGAGGTGAAAAACCGCTTGAAGCAAAAGGTACTTGAAGTTCTTATTCAAAATGTATAAGCACCGTGTATGAAATGCATGGCCACAAAAAAGTATGATGTGATCAATAGCGAGCTGTTTGATACAGTGTTGTTAACACACTTCAAAATGCATTACCAGCTGTCCGGGAGTTTTCACACTGTTATAAATATTCACAGACAAAAAAACTGTCTTCAAATAACATTAAGACTCTGGCTTAAACCCACAAAGGCAAGCAAGTTCAGAGTTACCACTGCCAGTCTGTCCCTGGCCCGCTCCCCTGGGCCTGAGGTTCACAGGCAGCTGTAGAAATCCCCTCGGCCCCCCCACCCGCTCCTGCAGCCAACCTCTGCCCCAGGGCTGGCCCTAACCTAAACCGAGAAGCATCTCCAGGGAAGTGACTGCCGTGGTTCCAGCTTGCACGTGGCCACTGCGCAGACACGGCACAAAGGATGGGTTTGAGGAGGATGCAGCCGGTTGTCCTCACCGTGGAGGGCTGCATGGGAGGAGCCGGCAGTTTATGTTGGAGGCTGTGCAGGGACAGGAAGGCTCTGGTTGACTTCTGGGACCATTAGTAAGATTGTATGGAATCATACTGGCTACATCCTCATTAAGATTCCCCCAGCCTGAATCTCTAGACTTGTACAGTGAAGTTAGTATAACAGAGAGGGCATTTTTATATTATTATGGATGTCATCATTGTTATTATTGTTGCCAACCTTCCTTAAGCTCTTGTTAAGGGTGGTCTGGGCTAGGAACTTTCCCCTTTAACCCTTAGAACAACTCTGGGGGTATTATTCTCATTTCATGAGTACAGACTCTAGGGTTCAGAGGTGAAGTAATTTGCCCAAGGCCACACTGTTTGAACCTAGAAGAGCCAGGATTAGAGTCCAGATCTATCCACCTCCAGCGACTGTGCTCCTACCACTATAGTATTTCACACTGCCTTCCTAAAACAAGTGTTTCGTTTTCCAAAAGATACTTGGGATCACTTACTTCATTATCCTCATGCCTCCGAATGTACCACTCTAATAAGGGCCTTTGACTATCTCGGCAGCTTTTAAAAAATTGAAAGCAGTTTTAATTTTATAAAGTCAGAAAGGACTTCTAATGAACTTGAAATGGTTGAAGGAATTGATTCCCTTTTTTTAATTAGAAAATAATTTGCTCTGACTAAGCATTTAAATTTTTAGTTTCAGCTGAGAGTAAAATTTTAACAGCTGAGGTTCATGCCCTGAAATAAAAACCCTGTAATATAAATCCAGATAGACCTTAAACTGTAGTCTCTTGCACCCTGCCAGAGGAAGGCAGGTGGCATTCTTTACTTGGATGTTATTTAAGTCACTAAATATACCTTTTTTATCTCCTATCCCAGTTGCATGTAGCTGAATTGTATTGCAGATAGAAAATAGAGTGGCAGGGAGGGGAGTTTTTCCCTCCTCGATGCCTGGATCGTAGGCTCTGGTTGGCATTTGAATATTACCTGCAGTAAGCAAAGAAAGGGGTCCCTCCTCAGGCAAAGGACAGATGTGCCCTCGTTGGTCAGATGTGCTCCCTATAGACCGTTAAGCTAGAGACATCACCTTACCTCCTTACTTGAATGTGCAAGCATTAGCCCTAGAGAATCCCCTTTTTATGATATTTAACGTTTCTGCAAATAGCCAGATAAGCTCGGGTTTTTAAATGTGGTGGTTCAAAGGTTTGTTGAAACAATCTAGATCACTTTCCTTCCACGCCATCTCTCTTTCTGTTCCTTGGTAGTATCTGAAGCAGATGTCTCCCTCCCCTCCCCTTCCCCCTGCCAGTCTTTTCAAGAATAGCTTCAGGAGATAATGTTCTATAGAGAGTGTCAGTACATTTCAGGTGACACACATGGTGAAGGCATTTTATAGAAATGTGGCTTGTCACCATCGGACTGTTGACAGATCTATTAGTGCACCCTTTTCAATTTTCACTTTTCCCCCCTTCGGTCTTACAGATTTCCACAGACTTGATGTTTTGCAGTTGTTCTTGGGAGAGAGCTATTTTGTAATTGAAACTCTAGCATTGTTCAGTGCGTACAGGACTTGGGGCTCTGGTGCTCTCCAGCTCCCTTTCTTGAGCTAATTTAGGACTTGGCTTCACCTGACCCCTCTCACAGCAGCAGAAAATATTTCCTTGGCTTTTCTGTTTCCCTCCCCTCTGCCCCCTCCCCTTTACATGGCACCATGTCTACGTGGCTGCCCCGATGCATCTAATACAGACGTCTCAAGTTTGGTTTCTGCCATGAAATTGAGGCAGTTCCCAACAAAGATCCAATTTTCAAATGTGCTGGGTTGCCACCTGGCCTCCTCTAACTCTGCATAGCAATGGTGACCTCGCAGATATAATCAAGAACCCAAGCTTGCCCTCTTCGCTCTCGCCTTGGGTTTGAATTGCAAATAGAAAATGTGGGGCCGACCTGTGGAGAGGTCATCATGGTGTGTGGAGGGTCCATCTCTAATACGACTGAGCAGGGCCCTTCTCCATCCCTTGTTCGTTTGTGCTGCGGATTTTCAAAGCATCTGAAAGAGGAGCTTTCAGGATATCTGTGTGACCATTGGCAAATAATTGTTAATAGAGCCTATAGTGTGGCTTTATTCTATATCTGCTCTGCTTCAGCCCAACAACAACAACAAAAAAGGATGGATAACATATTTCTCTAGATAAATGGAGCAAGGTGGTCAAGTTCTTCTATAGCTTGGCCTCCTTTGAAGTCTGACTTGCTCAAAATTAGGAAGAAGAAGAAATGGCAAAGATGCTACCCAGCTATCGCTTTCTAAGGGAGAGTGTAGTGCTTTCATCTGGAGCACCTCCCTGCCAGACCTGGCCCGCAGAAGAGTCCCGCGTGACTGTCAACAAATTACATTCCGTTGCAGAGCTGGGCGAGGCTGGCATGAGAATGCCCTGTTTTAAGAGCAATGACCGCATGCACATTCCTCGCCTACAAGGAACATTAACATCTTCACATAGGGATGTCCTTTTCTGCCTATTGAGGAACTCCTGAAAATTTTCTCTTTTTTCATCAGTATCAAAATGGGCCCTTTAGCCAAACGGGCCCATTTCACAAAGCTTTGTAAAGTTTCTGAATCTTTGATCTTTAGAAGACAAATCGAGCTCGTTGATAGAATCTCTGTGATTGAAAAGAGCAGGTTCACAGTTGGTTTCGCAGAGACTTGAGTTTCTGGCCAAACAGTTCCCATTGAAGGGGGTGAGTAAGCATTCGTGGGCAGGAAGATCCAGGTAGACTCTTGCAGAACAGACATTTTCACACTTTATCACACAACTGTCAGCTCCCTGTCTCCAGACACGGTAAAATACACTGCAGCCTCAATCACAGAGATTCCAACTTTGGCTACTATTTAGATAGCAGTATTCATATTTTAATTTGCATTTGCTGTAGTGTGAGGTAGCCTGGAAAAAGAAGGGCACTGCACGAATCTGAAGATGGAGACAGGTAGTTCCCCCACCAGCGGTATGAGTCAGAGATGGGAAGGCCTGTGCCTCACACCTGTGGGACCTTTCATCTCCCCCTCCTGGTGATGTGGTATTTGGCCTTCTGAGGCAGCCCAGCCGGGCTCAGTGCTGGTTCTGTAGGATATTTGCTGTGTGACCTTGGGTAAGTTACTAGATTACTCTGAACTTAGTTTTTCTCATCCATAAACTAGGGGAAATACAGATTTTTACTGGATTATTATAAGGATTAGCAGAGGTAATGTGTTTAAACAGCAATGCTTAGTGGCCACTCAGTAAATGAGAGTTTCTGTTCTGTCCATTTTCTTATATTCGACATCTGGGACAGCCAGTCTGCCCAAACACCCGTGTGTACACACCCTACGAACATGGGATCACCTGCCTTTAGGTCGTCCACTTAACCACCAGAAGAATCTTTTGTAGAACACAGCTCTGACTGAGTCACTCTTTAATTAAAACCTTTCAGACCTTTCAACGCTTCCACCTCCTTGGGTTGGGGTGGAATGCCCAGCTCTGGCCCACCTGCCATTCCTGCAGCAGGCCCTGCTCTGGAACATAATTATTTCCTGACTGTCTTGCTGTACCAAGGGATGGGAACTGCTAGGACCCCAGTTGCTCCGAACTGAGCCTCAGGGCTCCTGGGAAGAGATTTGCCACCCTTGGTGGCCTCTGATCTACAGCTCTGTCTAGTGTCTTCCTCCTATGTGACCCTTCAGGAAGGAATGGGTTTGCCCCTCTTGTCAGCTGCTTGGTTTTGCTTTTAAAAATGCCATGTAGAAAGTTAGTTTTTTCCCGTTTGCAAACAAAATTCATATTATTGGGGGAAACTCAACAAATCAGAGGAGAGAAAAGAAAATAATATTTTATAACCTGCATTTTCATTTACTACATCCTGGACATCTCTCAGACCTACTAAATGTTTCTTCCACATGTCATTGTTTTAAATGGCTACCTAAAGTTTTGTCTGATATACATATATGCATTGTTTAATCAATACCACTGTTGGACCCTTACATTAGTTCCAATTTTTTCTAAGCAAATCTCCTCATAAGTAAGACTTTACAGTAATTCTTATTATTTAATTAGGATAAACTTCTAAAAATGGAATTAGTGGGCCAAAGGGCATATACATGTTTTAGGTTTTTCATGTAAATAGCCAGTTTACATTCCCACCAGAAGAGTATGAGAGTACCTATTTCCCAAGCCCTTTGCTGACAGCTAAGTTATTAAATAGTTCTTAGGTCACAACTTTTTTATCATCAGTGTCAAAATTTGCTGTTATTGTCTCCTTACCATGTGCAAGTTCTCTGCTAGTGAGTACAGCAGAGGGTATGAACTGGTCCTATTTCTTTCCTGTCTTGGGCTCCTGTTCAGCTCCCCCTGGCATCCTAGGAGGAAGCAATTGTCCTTCCCTAAGTAGAGGAAATAGTGGAAAAGTTAATATATTGGTGGGGTGAGTGACAGGATTTCATAAGAAATCTTTTGCACCTTTGGATCTTCTAATAAATGAATATGCAGCACTGCTTTTTGACACTCAGGCATATTTGTGTATTGGACACATTTGCCTTCCAAATGTTTAACTCGGCTTTACAAAGATTTGCTGGAGAGCATACACTAGATTCAAGGCTCTAGGGTAGAGAACCGAGCCCCAACGAACTCTCAGTCTATAGGGATATGAAGATAAGATAGCACAGGGCACAGCAACATCAGATCGGTGTGACAAGAGGGATTTCTGAGAAGGAGATCACATCTGATGACTTAGAGGGCACCTCCTCAATTCCCAATACCTTCACTTGTGCCACTGTTATGGGTTAATGTGGTATAAACGCCAGGAGTCACATTGCTCCTTCCTACCTATGTGGCCTTGAGTAATTTACCCTCCCTGAGTCCTATTTCATCACCTATAAAAGAGGGATGATCCTATTTACCTTCTGATCATTGTGGGAACTAAGTGTGAGAATGAAGGTCAAGGGTCTGGAAAAGTGCCTGCCAGGGGTAGCCACTACACTCAGGGAAGCTCTTCCTTTTAGCAGGTGTTCTCTCCCTTTGCAGGGGGTACCAATCTAACGTTCAATTTGCACAGTGCTGTGACATTTCTCAAAGCTTCCTCATATCTCGTCTCATTTAACCCATTCTCCCAGTAGCTTTGAAGTTTGCCAAGCAGGTGGTGTTCTCCCATGGTAAAAATAAAGAGAGAGGTGCAGAGAGGTTGAGTGAATTAGAAGGATCTGTCAGCTAGTTAATGGTAAAAACAAAACTAGGAAACAGTATTTTTACTTATAAGCTTCAGCTAAGACACTTTTCTCAAAACTACCACATTTGCTTTTTTAAAAATAGCTATCACCTTATAGTTTTCAATTAATACCAATATTTTCTCACCATCTTACCTTGCAGCTCCACTTATTTCAGCCAAACACAAACACACACATAGACGCGCACAAAATTCTCCCTGCACCAAAAGTGAACTTGTTAATGTTTAGTCTTATTCAGCCTCTCGTATCTAGCCTCTAGGTACCTCCACCTGCATCCAAAATGCCCCTTTGCCCTTTGTTGCTTTCTGGCACAGAACCTTTGTTCCACTTGACCTGAGCACCTTACGGGAGCCTGTTTCCAAAAGAGCCGTTTCTAATTGGCTGCCGGCAACCTCTTTCATCACTGAGGCTCAGCCTGGCTGAGACTGACCAGTCCAATGGGGGCAGCTTGATCCAAGCCCTCCCTGTACAGCCAAGAGGTCATCGTCTCACTTGGTTCTTTACAAGCAGTAGAGACACCCTAGGGCTGGCCTCTCCGGGCAGCCACGATTCCTTAGAAAAGGAGGCTAGGAGGTAGGCAGCTTGGATGCACATGGTCAGATACATAGTGTGTGTGTTTCCTGTAGTTTACTGAGTAGCTAAAAAGGTTTCAGACGCTGTTACATTGTCTGTCTCCTATAGTCTCTCTAGCTACCATATCCCCATTTTACAGGTGAGGAAACTGAGGCATAGAGATAGTATATATGTTTCTTCCTTAATGCGAGATTATTCAGTAAGGGACCACTTTCCTCCATGCCCCACCATTCTCTCTCAGCTGAGAAGTTAAGAGCGACCAATCATCAAAATCTCTTACATACAGAATTGTATGAGTATCAAGAGTATATGTTTTGTTGACCAGAATGTGTATTTATATTTGCAATGAAAAGAATTAGAAGTTGTATTCATTATTTAATTCTGGCTGAGTTATTTTTATTTGGTAAGAAAATCATTATTTAGATGTTATTTATGTATACGTTTATTCTCTGCCTTGTTCCAATGAAAATTTAAGCAACTTTCTTGACTCAAATGAAACACGTGATCCTTGTCACACAAGTGGGCCCATCCATGTTCCAGGGAACCCACGTGTAGAGTCAACTGCGAGCTGTAGTCACCGGAGCCATCACCTGCCCTGTGCACATTGAAGTTTTTCTTTTCCTTATAATTTGACTTCATTCATCAGAAAAACAAATTAAATTTCTGGATTTAAAAACATTTCTTCAGTCCCTAAATATTTCCCAAGTCATGGAGTCCTAACTCAGACTTCAACCTTTTTATTCTCTGCCAGAAAGATTAGGGATAGGAAAGAGGGAACACAAATACGTGTTCACTAACAGTAACATCATCAGTAAACAAACAGGGGAAAAATGTCCACACTCACAAATAAAGGAATGCAAATTAAAGCAACAATGAGGTCTAATTTTTCACCTATTAAATTAGCAATACATTTTAAAAACGATAAGGCTAAAGAGTACTGTGAAACTAGTAACACATCCACTGCTGGTAGTTAATGTAAATTGGAAAACAATTTGGTAGAATGAATAAAAAGCCCTAAAAATGTTTATGTCCTTTGATCTAGTAATTTCATTCCTAGGGATTTCCATAGAAGAAATAATACAAAAGAAAGAAAAACTGCAATATTTATCACTGGTATTTAGAAAGTAAAAAATAATAAGGAACAACCTAAAAGCCCAATAGTAATGGAATGGTTAAATTATATATCCAATCAATGAAATATTATGCATCCATTAAATTTGTTATAATGACTATGTAGCACCATGGAGATGCTTATAATATATTGGGGAAAAAGCAGGATGTAATATTATGCATGAGTTGTGATCACAAGTAATTTTTAAATGTCTGCACGTGGACAAAGTGAATATATAAAAATGAAAATAGCTACGTAAGGTAGTAGGATGGAAGATGATTTTTTTTCGCCGCTGTTATGAATTATCATGTTATCTTTGTAATTTAACATGGATGATTTCGGTCTCTCAAGTCTTCAAAAGTCCAAGAGCCAAGTTAGCCCTCTGTTTCCTCCGTCTCCATGAGGAGGAGAGGCTCAGAACGGCCCCGAGGGGGTTCCACTGCAGGTCTCTTAGCTGTGGGCTTGGAGGGAGCACAGGTGCCAGGACCCCGATGCCAACCCCCTTCCCCACTTCTCCCTGCAGGACATCGCTGAGAATGGCTGTGCCCCCACCCCAGAAGAGCAGCTGCCAAAGACTGCACCGTCCCCAATGGTAGAGGCCAAGGACCCCAAGCTCCGGGAAGACCGGCGGCCAATCACAGTCCACTTCGGACAGGTAAGCACCCTGGCCGTTGTACCAGTCTGTTCTGGTTTTGGTTTTTCGCAGCAACTGTAGTACATACAGCGGACGGTTTTTCATTTCAGCTCTTTAGCAAACCTACTCGATGGAGTTTTTCACATCTTCAGATGTTTATATGTTTATGCTTTGAAGGTGAATTTTGAAAAATTTTAGGGAGACAGCATGGTTCTGGTCATAAACTAGCTCAGCTATTGAATGAAGTCATTAGATGCAGCTGCTGTCTCCCCCACTCCAAGGCGCTCCGTTTAAGGTGTCTCTGTTAGCTAAGCATCTCATTAGAACACTTTAGCATCCCAGGCCCTTCTTTGCACCTTCAAATAAAAGGCAACAAGCGAAGTCTTAAAAAAATCAATTAGGAGTTCTTTATTAATGTACTTCCTGAAAATCAATATCAGGAGTCGTGCTTCTCAAAGTAAACACCCAAGCTACGATTCTAGAGATCCAATTCTTTAACCAACTGTTTTCAGTGACCCGGGCATTTGAAAAATTGTCTATTTGTTTGATTTTTTTCCCTTAAGTAAAACATTGTGCTCTACAGAAATTAAATTTTTTTATCCCTTCCTCTCTGTGGTTATATTTTTGGTTGAAAAAGATTGCATATCCTCCCTTCTCTTAAGTCGACTTTTGATTTGCAAAAGTCATAATGTTTTGTGGTTTGTGGGAAATGGCTCTGTTAACAAGATATGGCTATAACAAGAATTTATAAAGTTATTTATTTTTAAATTACCTGATTCTTTAACCATTTATTAGATGATGCATGATTGAGATATTCTTTGTGATTCTGATCCTAAATGTGATTGCTGTTTCACCATGTAAAGGACCTAGATGCCTATGTTTAAAATACTCCTGTTTTTAACAGACATTATCACGTGCCTACTATGTACCAGGCATTGAGCTATTTAGAAATGAAGAGAATTTGACAAAATTGCTGTGCCGTAGGTTATTCCTATAAGGGGTGTGTTGGTTGGAACAGGAAAATCATTCTTCTCTAATCAATATTTTCAGATAATATATTCATATATCTGTAGCTTGGGGAGGTTCACCCCTTTTTCTGATTTTACACTTTAAAAAGGATATTATAAAAATTGAAATGAAGCACAAGAAAAAAGCATCCACAGGGCAGTGCTCATTTGGTTAATGAGAATCTTCAGATTGCTCCGGTGTCTGCACCCCTGAAGAGCTGCCTCCCCCTCCCCAGGCTCAGGCCCTGCTGGAGAAACCGCACCCTGGTTCCCTGGCTGTGTTTGCTGAAAGCACAGCCCCGGGTCGGTTGTCGCCAGCATGGCATTCCAGAGTCAGCTTCCTGCCTGCCTTTGTCCTCATTCCTGCACACACTAACCTTCCCATGAAAGGAGCCCCTCGCTGGAGTTTGGAGCCCATTACAGAGAAAGAGGGGGCGGGGGAGAGGGATTTCATGGTGTTAAACATTCCATTTTCGAAACACAAAAAAAGGAGGCCCTATTTGAAATGGAGAAAGACCTTCTTTCCATTTCAGCCAGAAGTAGAGATGCTTTAATGTCATTCCCAGCTAAATGCAGAATAAGAGTATGTGTGTGCGCACGGGTGGGGGATAAACAATTAAAAAAAGCCACCCCAAACTCTGTTGAAATAAGAGCTGTCTGTGCCTTCACAGGTCTGCAAACTGGAGAGGATGAAAGTGGCTTTTTTTCCCCGTTTGTCACTTCCCTCACGTGGCTGCCAGCATTATGCAAGTGTACAGGAAGGCAGGATTTTTTTTTAATGCATGCATGCGGATTAAGGTCAAGCCCCTAGTATCAGCCATGCAGCGGGCTCTCCCTTCCAGCTGCAGCCGGAGAGCCTACCCACAGCCGCGAGATGCCTTAATTGAGACGTGCTGTCAAAGTGACAAACACATTTGCATACAGTCTACACTCTATTTATTTTCTCTGGAAAGGTCTACAGTCTGCTGTTGGTTGAACATTCTTAATCAGTTTGCTGTATGTGAACTGCCAGCCAGCTCACTTGTGCCGGCCCCTTCTTCATTAGGTGACAGATTAGCTGCAGGAGGGGTGGGGGGACCACAGACCCTTTTCTTTTAACTCTTTCCAGCTTTGCCCCCGTGCTAGGCTGTCCTCTAGTCCTTCCCTGGGTGCCTGGTTTGATGAGCCATGGACCATAACAGGTAGCATTTCTAGAGCACCCACTACTGGCAGGCATGAGTTTTAGGGACTTGAAATTCTTCTCAAAGAATGATCTTTTGAGTTCCATTTCAAAAATGTTTGCCGCAGTCTCCTACGTCCGTACTATTCTTTTTATGTAATATTTATCTTTAAATAGCCTCAAACCTGACATCCATACCAATCTTAGCCTCATCTTAAGCAATGACTTGGTAAAATCATAGGTTTAATGTCCTAGTCCCAGTTTTTTCTAATCATACAAAAAAAATTTTTTTTAAGTGTTCATCTATGGATCACTGAAACCATTCATATAGCTCCAGTGGTATACATTTTCTTTTTGGAAAATAACAGACCCCACCACCACCACCACCACTGCCCAGTAACTTGTGTCACCTCTACCCTTTGCGGAAGGGATCATCAGCCTCATTTTATGGACCCAGACCTGGAGCTCAGAGACTTAAAGGCATCTGCCCAGGGCCACATCACCAACTCAGAAGCCCATGACAGTCTGCCTTGAGCCCACACCAGCTCTTTCACCAAGCAAGGATTTCAGTCATTTGATGTGTCTGTTAAAACCGTGTGCTCTGGCAAAATAATTTCAGCTAGCCAGATAGTCCACACTAAGCTCAGAAGAGTCGATGCCTTGGGTTTGCGTTTCTTTGAATTTCATTCTTTACGAACACTTAGCTTGCCAGTGGGCGTGGAGACTGTTGAGATTGTTGCTTTAATCTCTCCACCTTGGAAAGCTGGTGCCATGCAGCTAACTGGGGAGCTCCGTGGAGACCTCCAAAGGGGGAGCAGGGGCCCTCAGACAGCAGCTCTGCAGCTGAGGGGGGCTTAGTGTCAGGGCAAGAAGGTGCTTTCTTGCCCCCTGCTTCAGTAAGTTTCCCCTGTGAGGCTGTGACCATCCCTCCATTTAATTACGCATCTGTTCATGTATACATCGAGACATACCCTGTGTGAGATACGTAAGCCCTCAGTGCCCGCCACGCGAGGCACAGTGAGGGAGACAGACCAGCAGGTGGACAGTCCTGACCCAGAGTGACAAGGGCAATGAGAGAGGGGAGCTCAGAGGACCCTGAGGGCCCCCAGAGGCAACCCCTCCCCCCCCAGGACCACTCTGCACAGTCCCAAGATGGGCCTAGAATTAAAACATACTGTATCAACTGTCTGAACTCACTAATAATTCATTTGTTTTCTAAAGCAGACATATGTCACACCCTCTAAGAGTTTGAGAGGAGAGAAATAAGTGGATTTTTATTAATAGTTTGGCCTCTGCTTTCTTATCATGTATGGTTTCTTTGCAGAGTTCAAAATTGCCAAGTAGCTGGAGAATGCCTATCCTGCCTTGGCAAATGTTCAGGTATAGAGAGGCTTTAAATTACTATTTTCCCCTTCTCATGTTTAGAGTCCATTGAGAAGCAAGGCCCAGGGGACAGTCAAATGAGATAAAAATGCCAGCTTTTTTATTGATAAGACTGAAAGGAGAGTATAACACTATACCTGAGGCCAAATGTTGCTAAAACTTCACCTCCAAATTTAAAAGACAGTTCTGCACACAGGATAAGCGCACGGGGGCCGGCCTTGCCCAGGGCGGAGCTGCCCACGACTCCTGGCAAGGAGGAGCTGCCGCGGGGCCCGTGTGGGAGCTGGAAGGGGTGAGGAGGCTGCTCGGTTTCTTCTCCCAAGCTCTAGGGAGGAGGAGGCCCTCCTCCTCTGCTGGGCAGAGGTGAGCAAGAGGCTTGGAGAGCTAAGGATTTCCCCGCGCTTTCGTCTCCTGGGACGGGAATGGACATTCCCTCCTTTCTATGGCTACAGGAGGGAGGAAGCTGTGTCGTCCCCAGCAAGGCCTGGGCGCCCTCGGCTAGAGTGTGTTGCCTTGGCCTCCTTCCCTTTGGGGAATAAGCAGAGGTAGCTGCCCCACCCCCCACCATGGAAACCGCTGGCTCCCTGCGTTTAATAAGACGGACAGGACACTAGATGCTTCCACATCGGTGCTCACCAACTTGAGTCTTTGCCATGAGCTGCTAAGGAAGAAGGTGTTCTGCCCGTCGTACCAGTGAGGACGCATGCAGGAACAACACTACTAGGATGGGTAGTTAATTCCCACCCCAAAGCCAGTAGCATCACCTCTGCTTCTCTTGGTCACGAACAGCTCTCCCACCTGGCTAGGGGAATGGACTGACTGTGCAAGTCTGGTGACACTGGACTATAGTCCTGAGTGCAGGCGACCTAAGCACTGGGCCTCAGCCAGGCCAGGCCTTCCCAGGAGCCCTCCGCTGTGAGGGGGCAGGAGGATAAGGCTCCCCGGAGAGCATCATGGCAAACCCCTTCCAGAGCCTCCTCCTTTGTTTCCCCCAAATGATTCATCCTGCAAACAAAATAGTTGCCTACCTTCCAGTCTGGTAGATTCCAAAAAGTGTGTATTGAAAGGTATTTCTGTTCTTCTCCCATGTAAGGAAAGGTTTCTAAACCTCTTTAATGTAAAGGTTGAAAAACCGGTTAAGCCAAAGCCAAAACCAGGTGCCACTGTGGCTTCCAGAGAGCTGCGACCCAGAGGCTGGGATACCACCCCCAGGAGCAGCTCTGGGGAGGTGGTTGCCAGCTTCTCTGTGCCTGTGGAGAATTTACAGGCCTGAGCCGGGTCATTTAGTGCCAGTCCCGTGCTAGGCTGGAGAAGACGCCAAGCCAGGAAATGCCTCCTCCGCACCCTTGGCTCTGAGGGCCCTGAGACGTTCCTTCTGCCTCATTGGGCTTGGAAGTCGCGCGTAATTCCCTTCCATTCAGCCGTTGCCTCCCCACCGCCTCCAGCAGGTGTTCTCCAGACACTGCAAACCC